TGTCCCTGTCGTGGGATCTCATCACATGCACACGTTATTTAAGGAGTATATTATTTCGCTAAAACAACATTCATCAGGTCTATTAACAAATAGTATATATTTAGAGAAAATAAAAATATGGTTTATAGATTAAGTGAAACATAAGAAAGTGAAATAGAAAAAAAATGTATAATAAATGTAAACAAAATCAAAATTTCTATCAATTACTTTTCTATAATTAATCAGTTTCTTCTTTTCGCCTCGTCTAGTCTAATTGAAACCAACAGTTAATACTAATTATTTTTATTAGTCTTTGTATTAATACACATAATTATTTATAAACATTAAAATTTATTTTCACTTCGTTAGTGTCAATCAAATTTTTCTTTACAAATATATTAATAATTTGTATTAAAAAGATATTAGAAACCATTAAATTGCCGATGGAGTGTAGTGATGATTTTTTTTTTTTCATTTTGCAGTCACAAAATTTTGATAAAAGTTTCTTAAATATATTTTTAGTCACCTTAAAATGAATACGTTTTTATTTTGATTATTGTATTGATATGCTAACGAGTTGAAAAATCATTAAAAGAAATATAAGCTTTTTAAGAAACAATAACGTAAAATTTCCGTAATTGTTTCACGATCAAATAAATTGTTATTACTTATTAAATATTAATTACATAATGAATCTGATTATGTAATTGTTTCATGATCAAATAAATTGTGATTATACCCATTAAATATTAATTACATAAAATGTACAAATATTATAAAGTAATAGATCTTCTAAACATTTGAGTGAAACAACTTTTACAAATTTATATATTTTCTTAAATTTTTTAAAATCTAATGTTATTGTTTTTTTATTTCTAATATTAACCTAAAAAGTCAAATTATCGTTATAAGTAATACCTACTAAAATATATGTTAGGACTAAATATAGCCACTACAAATTTTTAAAGGATTAAAAATAGATACAAACATTAAAAAAAAAATTAAAACTAGAATTTTAAAGTTTGTAATTACCTTCTCGACTATCATTTCCTTGTATTTATTGCGGAGAGTATCGCTTTTTTTAGTCTTTTTTGTCTCATGACTTTCTCAGTCTCGGTATGAGAAGATGTTCTATACATACATACATACATACATATATATATATATATATATATATATATATATATATATATATATATATATATATATATATATATATATATATATGTGAATTTCGATTTTATATATATATAATGGAGACTGTTCACAAGGCATCACGAACAAGAGCTGAAATATTTTTCCTTTCAATTTCAAAAGAAAAAGGAAAAGATTTATTTTTAATAAATTGATAATAAGACTCGACAGGAGTTAAAAATATATTTAAATTATATATAAATGATACTATCACTAATCTTGAATTTTCTAATAGTAAAACATATACGAACAATTTTGCTAAATGAGTGATATCATAAGGTAAGAATACAAATACTAGTATTTATGATTAAGCAAGTTTCTCTAATTTCTTAGCCTCAAAGTGATATTGATTTTTTTTTTTGTTAAAACTTATGTAATACTTGTCATAGCTCGTTATATGAAATGTATTCATCATAGTCAGATCAAACATTCATTCGTTTGACCCAGTCAAATCTATTAATAGGAACATAACGAATTCTTTCCTATTACGAATTAAGTTTTACTAAAAGTTAAGGTTGGTCTAACTATTTCATTATGTTAAATAGAACAATGATAAATAATAATTATAAAGTTTTCTATACTGTTGACGTACGAAGATTACTTGACTCTTACGGTATTGATATAAAAGTTTCCACTATTTTTCAAACAAATTAGGATTAAGTTTGTGTTCAACAAGGATACCATATATAATCAATGATATTATATCAGTCATATTGTTATAACTTTTTTGTTATTTTTTTCACATCCCTTCCTTTTATTTTTCTAGATTAACTTTCCAAACAAGCAACTTAAAACAGTATATAATACTTCAACTTTTGATAATATACAAATGACATGTTTGTCTTAATGTTTATAAGTATCTGTACATTGGAGCAGTTTGGAGTTTTTCTTCTCCTTATCACACTTCATTCACATATTTCATGCATAAACAGTTTATTCAACAAATACTACGACAACAATATTGCTGACGAGGGTATGTATTTTATTATCTATAACATTTATCTTTTCTTTACTTTTTGTTTTTTTACATTATGGAGATTTAATTGTGCAAGAAAGAACCGACATCATGTAAAAAATTTCTCAACTTTTGAATATATATGTGGGTAAAATAACATATTTGGTTACTATGAAGTGAAACAAAAGTTACTTGAGGCTTTACATTTCTTTTTTTGCTATTGTTGTAATATTTCTTTTCCCCTCTTTTTAAGATTATTTATATGGCAGGTTTTCTTTTAAGTTATTAGTGTTTGATTTTCATAAAAGAAAAATTACGAAGTGGCTAAAATCGAACCAAAATTCCTTGATTATAATATTTTATCTTTTGTTCAATAAAATATAATTTACCAACATTTCTCAAACTATTTTGTTCCATAAAAGTTTTTTCAGTGTAGTGGTTTCTTTTCTCTCACATATTTTTATTTTATGTTAACTTTTCAAGCAAGAGATTAAAGGCATACAAAATTGAACATTTTATTATTAAGAATTTGTAAAGTGGAAAGACAAAATAGAATATCATATAATTTTTCCAGTTAACTTCCACCGCCCAAACAATAGGATATCATCACCGACTGGGCCCTACTACCCCTACGTAATTAACCTATTTTTCTCCCATCAAAGTCACCTCACAGTGAGCCACGTGGACAGTCACAATACACGTGGCTTCCCACCAAAACGACTGTTCTTAAACAACACCTCTTAGGTGAGGTGCGTTCATATTTCCTGCTGCTGCCACGTCAACGTTGATTCCACGTGGCAACGCATTTTACCAACACTATTTCCCTTTTAATTAAATAATAATATTTATGTATTTTTTGGTGGGGTCCATAAAATCCATTGCGTGTCTAGCCCCGAGTGTCTTTCTCTACGGTGCAATATGTGTCGGCAGCATGTGGTAGGGGAGCCATGGTAGCGCCACGTGGTGATTATGTACCTCGTTGGATCAACAATGGTTGGGCGCATGGACGTTTTTTCTGGTTTGGTTAGTTGGTCTAAAAGCATGACCAACTCAAACATAATTAGGTCATCATTGTACACTTAACTAAGATTTTAGGGTAATGAAATGACATAAAACATTAATTTTTTCTATATTTCTTTTGAGGATAATGTTTCTGAACTTTTCGCCCCAACCGACCATTAAAATATTGGATATCTGAATGGTTTGGTTTTTGTGCTAAAATGAAAAGTCTCAATTTTTGGGTTTTCCCTTGCTAGTTTAGATTCTATGGTTAATTAGGTTGGACTAACGGAATAACTATAATTGACTTCAACAAATTCACCTGTAAGAAAGCAAGAGAATATTCTGTTGTCTTTGTGACTTTTAATTTTAATTACTACTTTATTCTTTTTCCTTATTAATTTCTTTATCTTCTCCGATAAATAAAGCAGTCAATAATGTCCCAGAAGTTTCTGGGATTTTCTTCTTTTATTTTCCTTTTTCTAGGAGATTTGTGACCCTACTTATTTCTATGATACAAGAGTGATTTTCGGAGATTAAAGCAAGATTTTCTTTGTCCTCCTTAAATCGTGATTACTTTGTTTTGGTTACAGTCCTGATGTAATGACGCAAATTAAATATATGTACAAAAACTGAAAATCATTTCAATAAATTTTCACTATGATAATTGCTTTCTGTACGTAAACATTCACCAAAACCCAATACAGTTTATTTAAGAAAAAAAAATGTATGGAAATTTAGATTCAATCCACACAGTCATGGTAAAAAAATTCAAGATTTTTATGTTAGAAGATTCATGAGCAAATGAATCAGTTCATATCAGTATCATTAAGAAAATAATTGGTTCATCCAAATAATTGTGTGATTGGGAAGTTAATACTTTCAATAACTTATTGTATACATTAAATATATTCAAATTTATTATTAATTTTCACTCTTATTTAAAAATAGAGATTTGTGGTGAGAAAGCTTGTTATGGTAAGAAGAATCCATTTTAGAACATCATAATTAAGGATGATAATAGGTTCGGGTCAGGCATTGATAGTGCTACCCGCAAAAAAATTCCACCTGTAATCGGTTTGCTATTTGTACGGATACCTACTTAAAAAATATTCACAAATATCTTAAAGTCTATGTATACTTACAGTACAAAAAATTAATAAAATATATTTTATATATTTTTTAAATAAAATTTAAATAATTATAAAAAATATATAAAATATAATATAAAGTAAATTAAATATAGATTATAATTTAATTTTAATTAAATTTAATCTAATAAAATATAAATTAATTTCCTTTTAATTAAATTTAATTTAAAAAATAAAATTTAATATTTTTTTATTATTTTTAATATCACACCTAACCATTTAGAAGCAAATATTAAAATACTTGATATTTATTATTCACGAATAACTAATATGCGCCAGAAGCAAATATTAAAATACTTGATATTTATTATTCACGGATAACTAATATGCGCCAATAGTAACTATCTACGGATTTTTTTATGAGTGTCTATTTGAACGGTTTATTCGAAAGTGTCAATATTTTATATAAAACTAGCAAATGACACTACACTATTTTATTTTAATTATTTAAAATTTAATCTTTATGTTAGTTTTAATTATATATTTTTTAACTGCTTATTTATATTTTAAAATTTAAAAGAGTACATGATAATATTAAAAGTTTCATCTATCACATAAATGCTTTTACTAAATATTTCTTGCTTTTGGTCACTTGACATATGTGTAAAAATGTGACAACTTTATAAATTCCGTTAACACTTCACACATAAAATCTTATAAATTATAATGACGGATACATAATTTCATCCATTTCCCATCAGCATAATAAAATTAATACAAAATTAACATTGAAAGGCTCGTGAATATTTCAGAACTTCATATTGTAGCAAATCGGAACAGATTTTCTAAATATACATGAAATACCGAAAATCGATAGAAAAGTTTATACACTAACAAGACTCTTGCCAAGAATAATGTCATCTGTTGAGAAATCAGCCTCTTTCCGGAATGTTCCTCTACCAAAGTCCAGGTTATATGAGTCTGCAAGACCTTCTACAAGGTCAAATTCAGGTTCCCACCCAAGTACTCTCTTTGCTTTCTCGATCGATGCAAAGAAATGCTGCACAATAAAGAAAATAAAACAACAATGTTATTCATCATAATTTCACCAATGGAAAAACTGCACGCATTCATTTTCTTTTGTTAATTTTATGTCGGCAAAGGGATGTCCCAACTATGTTTCAGCTTTCAAACATCATGAGTTAAAAAACTTTTAAATATCATTAGACTATATAATGATGTCGTTTTTCTAATAAACTATACAAGTTATAGACACTTTTTTCTCATTCTATCTGATATGTGTCGTTGTTTCACCTGGTCACGGAATGGAAATGACTTCTTTTTCCCAAAATCAAAATCTTTAGGGTTGTAGTGAACGAGCTCTGGCTCTGGGAATCCACCAGCCTGAAAAATGACAAAAACAAACAAAAAATATATCAGTAAAATATGTCTCAAATGTGAATGCTTGACATTATAAAAGAATTTTTACACAGCTCTCTGTTGGTCACCTTAAATATGATTAAATGACAAGGAATGAATAACTTACCTTAGCACACGCTCTTGCTAATCCATCAAATGTGACATATTTCTCTCCCGAGATGTTGAATACTTCCTTGCTGGCCTTGTCATTACCAAGAACCTGAACAAAAGCTGTTGCCAAATCCTGTCATGATTGAACCATATTTCAGCCAAAATCACAAAAATGTCATAAATTTGGAAAGTATCATACTATTAGGAGTATAAAAAGTTAGCTATAGATTAGTTAAATCAGATGCTATCAGGGAATATAAAACTTTAGCGATAGATTAGTTACACCAGTCAGGTCTAAATGAACGTTTTAAGATAATATAAGAGACGGTCTGAAATAGTGTGTTGAACTATTCTCGTGTTACCTGAGATATAACTGACAAGTTAGTTTGATTTACACGAGACCATTTATTATAATCTTCAAAGGCATTCAAAGAAGGCACTGCAGATAACGTATGTTGAACCAAATTGCAACATGGAACATAGTAGACATCGTAAAACTCTTGTAGAAAAATGAATATGATCAGCTAAGAACAGTAACATAACAGAATTCCATACCTTAACATGACCAAGTTGTGTTATTTGTATTCCTGAGCTAGGGATAGGAATTGGGCGACCAGCTTTCAATCTATGGAAGAACCACTCTTCAACAGGGTTGTAGTTCAAGGGTCCATAGATGTAAACTGGCCTTATTGAAGTCCAATTAACACCCTTTGATTGTAGCAAACTTTCTGTCTCAAGCTTTCCCTTGTGCCTACTCTTAGGATCAACTGCATCAGTCTATCACAGGAAGCAGGGAGTTAAAACAAAACTGAAATTAATAATACTGGAAAGTGAGAAACTTTTTATAAAGTACTTTCGTGTGCATAAAATAAATTTGAACCATGCGCTCTTCCCTTCAGTGGAACTAACTGAAACTTTAAATATGACACTCCTATTATGTTTAGTGACTTAAATCATACACGGTTGCAACGAAAGAGCTCCACAGGAAAGAAAAATCTTTCTCATAGCACATCTCAGTAATCTTGTGAATAAATAAAAAAAGTGGCAGCATAACTCGGAAAAAACTAAATGATATGAATGTTAAAGGCACGTCACTGCAAATTTCTGAAATTACAGGAAGATATACATGTTAAAACGTAACTGACCTCTGCATGAGGTAATAGGTCAGATTTGAGATAGACACCAGCAGAAGAACAGTAAATAAACCTGACAATGGGAAGATTATAAGCAAAATGGAGATTAGAGGCATAGTACAAATTATTATCAGAGACATTTTCTTAGTATGCAATTTAAATTTTTATGATTGAATTATTTGTGAAGCTATGACTTTTCTTACATTTTACCTTACAAAACTATATCATTTTAAAATGAAATAATTAATATAATCAGTTTATTAAAAACCAACCGTCTGACTAATCTTACCCTCTCTTTGATTTTAGAAAAAAAGCCAATTCAATTTCACATCGATCCCAATCTGTAGATCTAAAGTCTAAGCCATCTAATTGGTGTAAATTTCTATTTCTACATATCGAAGCAAATAGTTGATATAGCTTCTTCTAGATTTCAAGAAGTATCTTGTTGGGTCAAGAGTTGGAGAACTCCATAAATTATCCGTTACAAACGATTTTCTGTATTGAATGTCATATAATGAAAGAGAACACTGTGATGATTCTCTTGAAGTGCAATCAAATTTATTCTTAAAATTCAGTTGACAAGGTAATCATTTATAAGTTGAACAATGACAATCTGCTTTTATGTTATATGAAAGACAGCTTAGGCAGCTTACTGTTCCAGATTAGGCAGAGCATCCAGTATGGGCTCAACTTCATCTGCCTCTCGTCCTGAAACATGTCGAAAATTTTATTTGAGTCTCTCATGAGAGAAAAGTTAAAAAAATTCACGACTTGAACCTAAAGAGAAAAATAAATAATGAAATTGTGGGAAAACAATATTCACAGAAGGTGAGAACAAGTAGGAATTTGCATACCATTTATGTCATAAACAACATCATACCCCTCCGCTGACAGACTGGATTTTACAAATTCAAAGTCCTTCCTGTCTCCTTTCAAATGCAAGATCTGGGAAATTAAAAATGCTACAAATTGTAAATGCTAATCATGCCTTGCAAGAAGGTGAATTCAATATTTAATTTGCAATGAGATACCTTGGAAGAAAAATCAGCATAATCACCGTCTGATTCACCTGGCAATTGTTGAGTCACAGGCGCTTTACCTCTCGTAAATAAAGTCACCTGCCAAATTCACACGTTCTATCGTTAAATATTCCTTGGAATGTAACTTCGAACTATACGACATTACCAAACACAGGTATAAAAGCTTTTCAAAGATATGATTCCTTAGAACTGCATTCACGGAGGAATGAAATCATTTCTCAATACAAAAACAGGCGTACCAGAGTTAACACGAAATGGGTAAGTCATACCTGGTGTCCCTCTTTGACAAGGAGCCTAGACAAAAATACTCCAATAAATCTTGTGCCTCCCATGATGAGAATTTTCTTGGTGCTTGATGCAGAGACAGAGAAAGACCCTTTTGGCTGCCATAATTTTCTCTTCAACTGTACCCAAAACAAGCATGCTGGGAGTTAGGGAGGAGAATATGTGTTTTATCTATCACTTGGATGCATAGATTCTTCAAGTTAATAACTCAAACTTCGTGGAAAACGTTAACTCAATTAAACTGAACAGGACAAAACAGGAATCGTGCAACTGAGTTTACTTAGTAAAAGTAATACACAAAAATACAATGGTGTTCAGCATCTGCTGGTAAATGCAGACACAGCAATGAGTGTAGAAAGAGAAAAAGGAGACCTGAAGTTGAGTATGAAGTCTGGTTCCACTGAAGTCAGAAAGAGAGGAGGCCAAGGGAGAGAAAGATAGTTGGTTCTGTTGGAGTGCCACCATTCTTGCCATGCTTTGGTATGTGTGTGTAGAGTGTAGTCCAGAGTGTAGCGTAATGATATGGGGCTGAAATTTGAAGTGCTTTTCGTTTCCTTCACCCAACCAACTAACTCCCCACCTCTTCTTTGCTTATGATAAGACAACGACCCTACTCCATCTGCATCCACAGCCCCTCATTCCCCTACTCTTTCACATTCATTCGTTTTTTCTAAAACCATATTTATCAAATCTTAATCCATTTCTTATGTGAATTGAATGTACCTAGACACATATGTCTTGTTCCTATGCAAGAAAAATTCCTGATCGATATTCCAAGCTAAGAACAACAACACACATGATGAATTACATCGATAGCTTTCGTGTGCCAGAAAGTGAAAAAAAAAAGACTAAACATTTTTAGATGGGCCTGACCCATAAGAATTGGGCTATACATGTTCGGCCCAATACACTTCTGTACCTTCCACTGTAGCGACATCGTAAAATAATCATGCATTTTCTTATTGTTATTATTATTATTTGCATTCGACGATTAAGCGACATTAAGTGCTTAAGCACTTTAAGATCCTGCACAACAGTTACTGACGAGCCTGGAGAATCTTGTGTGTACAGGATTCATTAAAACATGCAGCCGTGTTCATTATCTACGGAAAGTCCTTTCGGAATCAACATAAACAAGGTCAATTCAGGGAATGCGGAGCTTCAAATGTGCACGAGCAATATTTGGAGAACGCTTCTTAAATCTCATTTCAAAAAATTATTTTTTTTTTCCACGATTTGGTTGCCTGATTGCTCAACAACTAAATTTACCACAAAAAAAAATTATAAGATTATTTCCTGTAGAGTTGAAGATGTTCTTTTTCACAAACAAACATAATTTCTTAGTACATTTTAATAGATGAATTAATTCTTATACATTTTTAATAAAAAAGAGAGTATACATTTAGGCAAATTTCTGTTGAGATTAATTTGGGTTCACATCTTAATTATGCTTAGCGACTTCGATTAGTCAATAATGAGTTAATGCTAACACTGTAATTACAATGTGGTTTGCTTACCTTTTTTTTGTTTTTATTATCGAATATAATTTAAATACACTGACAATATAAATATTTTTTTATTACTGTTAAATTATAAATCGTCATGTAAGTTAATCAAAGGCTGATTTTTATAATAATTACTTTTAAATTACATGTAAAGTAATTTTTAATTAGCTAATATTGTAATTACTTTTACACAAGCTGACTGGGGAAAATTACGCTCTTTTTTTTGTTATGTCTGTGTATACACTATGTTTGTGTGTATTAATGATGAAACTTGAGACATATTTTTTTTTATCAGTTGAAATCGAAGTATTAATTTTAGTTGAAAAATGTTGCGAATTGGCAGCGATGAATGGTGTGCGAAGTGAAGGACGACGAAACTAGCGTAGCTTGAAACTCCCTTGATCACAAACTTTTCCTTTCGCAGACCTTATTAACTTTTCGATTTAATTACTACAATCCTTCTCCTTTTTTCTCCCATCCCTTCCTTTCTTTCTCCGCTCTGATTTTGAGCGAGAAAGAGAGATGTTGCAGTGCATATTTCTTCTGTCCGATTCTGGGTAAGATTCACGCATTCCCTGTTCTAGGATTTTCAGAACAAGTTAATTTCAATTTTCTCAATTTCCGATTTCGAATTTAAATTTCCACTTTAATTTGATGATTCTGAAAATTGGTTTCCTTAGAGAGGTAATGCTAGAGAAACAGCTCAGTGGGCACCGCGTAGATCGCTCAATATGTGCCTGGTTCTGGGACCAAGCCATTTCTCAACCTGGTTCTTTCAAGGTTTTCATTTTCGTTCCTTACTATTTCATTTTTCTCTACCTTTTATTTTTATTTACCTTCTCTTTTCTTCTCTCTGAAGCAACAACCAGTTATTGCTTCCCCCACGCATTATCTATTCCAAGTTTTTCGCGAGGGAATCACTTTTTTGGCCTGCGCTCAAGCCGAAATGCCCCCATTGATGGCCACTGAGGTATGTATCTTCCCAGTTATTTGCAACTCATGAGCCAATGCTTCTGCATTTGTTTTTTTAACCATCTGATTTTTAGTTCCTTTGTAGGGTAGCTGATGTTCTCAGTGAATATCTTGGGGGATTGAATGAAGACTTGATCAAAGACAACTTTGTCATTGTGTACGAGGTATTAACAGTTGTCAAAGTGTTGTTTTGCATTTTACCCCTATCGATTTGTTGTTTAGATGTAAAGTTGTTATGCTATTGTAGCTTCTGGATGAGATGATAGACAATGGCTTCCCGCTAACTACAGAGCCTAATATCCTGCGAGAGATGATAGCCCCACCAAATATTGTTAGCAAAGTCCTGAGTGTTGTGACTGGCAGCAGCTCCAATGTGAGTGACACCCTCCCAGGTGCTACTGCATCTCTTGTTCCCTGGAGAACAGCGGACACAAAGTATGCCAGCAATGAAATTTATGTAGATCTTGTAGAAGAAATGGATGCAACAATAAACAGGTCTATCTTCTCGAATTGTTGTCTTTCACTTCCAAACAGAGATAACTTTTTGGTGTTTTGATATTTTTTACTTATGGTATTATTTGTTTGTTATTTTGGCTAAACATGGAAATTAAAAATTTCACATTGAATCTATTTTGGGTAGGTTTCTTTGGACATTGCTTTTCATAGGAAATTTGAAATTTTGAATCTGAGGCCACAAGCAGAAGAAACTTGTCTGCCTTTACAAGAATAAAATTTCACTATAATACATTAATAGCGAAAGCTTATTTGTGGGATAGGTTACTGTATAACTTCTGAAACTGTAGTCCTTAACCGGGGCAAATGATGTGCGATCCATGTAGCCAATCTCCCTTAAGGAGATAAGGCCTTGCTGTTGCTGTTAGGTCACTGTACAACTTAGTAGTGTAATTTTCCTTTTCTTCCCTCGTCTGCTTTGACACTCACTCAATCTTCTTTTACTGGATTGAAGTCCTTTTTTCACTCCTTATATTGCAAACTGAATATTTCTTGAAATAGTACAATGACATAATGACTAAGCAATTGGGGATGTAGGTCTGCAAAGCTTTAAGTCTTGTGTATATACTCACATATGGGTCATTTTAGGCAAAGATGCTAGATCAATTTCAAATCATTCAAATATGGGTCATTCGTTATGTTTAATAAATAACTAGGTATGTGAAAGAGATGTAACAATCAAAGGATAGTGGATAACACAAATTCCTATACTTTTTATATTTAACATATCTTCCGTTTCTAGCAAAGAGTTGAAGAACCGGTGATCTTTGGATTCCTCTTTAATTTCGTTTATTCCTTTCCATTTTCCTCCATAGACTTTCTTTCTGATGCGTGGAAGCTTGAACTTGTGGAACTTTATGTGGCTAGGGCCGAATTTTCAATGATTGTCTTCACACTCCTCCTTTGTAGTTAGTATCTTATGCACTGTTCCTTCAGCTTCTGTTATACTCGTTGCTAAAGTTCTGTTGGTTCAGGGACGGAGTTCTGGTGAAATGTGAGATCAACGGTGAGGTTCAAGTGAATTCCCATATCACTGGGCTTCCTGATTTGACTCTTTCGTTTTCAAATCCTTCAATCCTTGATGATGTGAGGTTCCATCCCTGTGTTAGATATCGGCCCTGGGAATCCCATCAATTTCTTTCATTCGTGCCTCCTGATGGGCAGTTTAAGCTCATGAATTACAGGTATGGTCTCCAGCCTTTTTGTTGATGTCTGAATTAGGATTTGGAACGTTAATTTGCGAAGTGGGTATGAATAAAGATATAATTATAAATGTTAAATTTTATTCGACGGTATCCCCAAATTTCTATTTATCTAAAAGTTTGCTTGTCACCTTTATTTTTCAGAGTTAGAAAATTGAAGAACACCCCGATATATGTAAAGCCACAGTTGACTTCAGATGGTGGAACATGCCGTCTTAGTGTATTGGTTGGAACAAGAAATGATCCTGGAAAGGCAATCGATTCCGTAACTGTTCAGTTTCAGCTTCCTTCTTGCATCTTATCAGCTGATCTGACTTCAAATTATGGAATAGTAAACATACTGTCTGACAAGGTACCTATTAAGCACCAATCTTTCTTTTGTTATCTACTGTAGATTCCAGGAAGTCATAATAGTAAGATATAACTTCTTTGTCCTTCTTTTTGTAATGGAGCTTTCTTTGTTTCTACAGACATGCTCTTGGTCCATTGGTAGGATCCCAAAAGATAAAGCTCCTTCAATGTCAGGAACATTGGTGCTGGAGACTGGATTGGAGTGCCTTCACGTCTTTCCCACATTTCAAGTGGGTTTTAGGATAATGGGTGTTGCCTTCTCTGGTCTGCAAATAGATAAACTGGATCTGAAGACTGTACCCTACCGCTTTTATAAAGGGTTTCGAGCACTTACTCGAGCAGGAGAATTTGAAGTGAGGTCATAATTGTGTATTTACCATTGAGTTGTCTAAGACTTGTAATGATTCTGGACATGAAATTTTGTTCATTTACACGACCGGTTTCATTTGTAAAGAGTTGGATAGTGTTCTCTTCTGGTTTCAAATTATTTCAGTGGTGGATTTATCGCCGGGGTTTATGAAAGAATCTTGCGACTTGTATCACGAATCTATTTCTCGCGTCGAAGATTGGCAGCATTGACAATGAATTGTGTGGTTTAAGATCTTAGATGAACGACTGATCCCCTCTGCTTAATTTTATCCATCAATTTTCTTTGAATTTGGGATAAATTTTAGACATGAATCCCTCTCATTCGAGTATCTTGAAATAAAATGGAATTTATGGTACATAAAACTTTCAGTTCAATGTGGATGAAAGATCAGATGAATAAGTAATGGTGAACACAGTGTAATTATTTGTCGCATGCAAGAACTTGACTAACGGAGAGAAGTTGAACAAACATTATCATCGTATGCCAATCTTATAATATGAACTTATCCTAATTACACCCTAAGCTTGGTTATTGTTTTTTTTTGTTTACTTAAACTAAAGCTTGATTTGGTTTTCTTCCGCTTTTCCAACTATATAGATTTCGTATTATTGATATAATAATTCAGTCCCTTCATCAACCAAAATAAATAACATCAGGTCACTTTCAGCACAACACTGGTTTAACATTCTTATTTTAGATGAGGCTTAAAGATTAGTGAGACAATTTTTATAAGTCTGATGGTTTGAGTAATCGAGATACACCACAATAGATCAAGTTAAATGTCGTGTTCTCAAACAGACTTAAATAGATACGAAAATGAAGATAAGAGTGTAACAAAACAATCAACAGAGCCCAAATTATAGCAAGAGTTAGAGAAAAATGATTTTTAGAATTGATAAGAAATAAAAAAAAATAAGATTATGTTTCAAGAACAACGAGCATATTCATGTATCCAACATTCTAGTTCTAAGCAGCAATCTTGCTGACTCGAAACGAATCCATGACTCTACGAAGATCACTTTCCTCCTCTGCAAACACATTTTCCGGCACCTGCAATCTCAACTCATACAGTTGGTTGTTTTCAACTCCAAGAACAGATAGGTACCTCCGGTCCCATTCCAGACGAGCCACCCGGTCTTGTGGCATAACAGCAAGTTCATTGTTGTTTGCATATGACTTTATGTTTACCTAGCAACATAAAGACAATAAATTCAACTAGTCAATTATGTGATTTTCCAATCAGAAGTGAGAAGGCATATGATTTACGAACGCCTTCGAGATGCATTACTTACCCAAAGTGATTTTATTACCAATTTCTTATGCACTTCACTTATAATTGTATCAACTAGTTTTATCTGGCAATACATGCTATGATCATCATTGTTAGGTTTGTTGTGACTAAAGAAACACTCATGCAACTGATTATTTGAATGTAATTGTTAACCAACCTCAACTTCATAGTACAACTTGCCATCATCAGCTACTCTTGAAGAAGTTGAAAGAATATTTGATTCACGTCTAACACCGAGTCTAGTAGACATAAACTCAGTCAGATATTGTTTGAGCACTTTCTTTCCAGCTTCTTGGGGTGGACCCAAGTCTTCAACACTCTTGTATTGGGAGGATGAAGGTGAAGAAATTTCAAGAGAGAGATTTTCATCAAGAACATAAGGGTCCCTAAAGAATATGTCAGCCCCAGCACCACGGACTTGAATCCAACTCCTTGGGTACTGGAATGAATAACCATCAAATGCATCTATGTATTCGCGGAACACAGGAGACTGCTGAGCTAGTGCTATGCCGACCTTTGAGAGAATGTAGGTTGATAAGATCAAAGACGCTGCTTTCCTTCTAGAAACTGCAAAACCTTTAGCCTGATTATATATTAGCAGGGATAAAATCAAAGCCAAGTTGTAGATGGACCATGCAAGAACAGTAAAGGAAAAAATGTTCACCCAGGTTGGACTAAGGTTCTAATATCTGGTTCACACCCATTCTATGGATATAGCAGACAAAATTTACCAGCACGTTAAAACGTAACTGACCTCTGCATGAGGTAATAGGTCAGAATTGAGATAGACACCAGCGGAAGAACTGTAAAGAAACCTGACAACGGGAAAATTATAAACAAAATGGAGATTAGAGGCATATTACAAAATATTACTAGACAATTTTTAGTATGCAATTTGAATTTTATAATTTAATTATTTGTAAAGCTATGATGTTTAACATTTAAGCTTACAAAAGTATTTCATGTTTAAATACGTCTTAATAATCTTACCCTTGCTACGTTGACTATTATTCCTCTTTTACTTTGGAAAAAAAAAGCCAATTCAGTTTCACATTGATCTCAATCTGTACACCTAAAGTCTAAGCCATCTAATTGGTGCAAATTCCAATTTCTACATATCAAAGCAAAAGAAGAGCATGGCATGACAGTTGACATAGCTTCTTCTAGATTTCAAGAACTATCTTGCTGAGCCAAGAGTTGGAGAACTCCATAAATTATCCCTGTTACAAATGATTTTCTATATTGAATGTCATATAATGAAGAGAGCAGTGTGATGATTCTCTGGAAGTGCAATAAAATTTCTTCTTAAAATTCAGTTGCCTAGGTAACTCATTGATAAGTTGAACAATGGCAATCTGCTTTTATGTTATATGAAATGAAAGACACATTACGCAGCTTACTGTTCCAGATTCGGCAGAGCATCCAATACAGGCTCAACTTCGTCTGCCTCACGTCCTGAAACATGCCGAAAAATTTATGAGTCTCATGAGAGAAAAGTTATGAAAAATCACGACTAGAACCTAAAGAGTAAAAATATATAATGAAATTGTAGGAAAACATTAGGCACAGAAGGTATGAACAAGTAGGAATTTGCATACCATTTATGCAAATAACATCAAACTCCTCTCCTGAGAGACTGGATTTTACAAATTCAAAGTCCTTTCTGTCACCTTTTGAATGCAAGATCTGGGAAATTAACAATGCTACAAAATGTAAATGCTCAGGAAAGACACACATTCTCATCATGCCTTACAAGATGGTGAATTCAATATATAATTTTCAATTAGATACCTTGGAAGAAAAAACAGCATAATCACCATCTGATTCACCTGGCAATTGTTGAGTGACAGGCGCTTTACCTCTTGAAAATAAAGTCACCTGCCAAATTCATATGTTCTATCATCAAATATTCCTTGGAATGTAATTTTGATTCCTTAGAATTGCATTCACAGAAGAATGAAAATTCATTCCTCAAAACAGACACAGGCATAGTAGAGTTAACGTGAAATGGGTAAGTCATACTCGGTGACCCTCTTTGACAAGGAGCCTAGACAAAAACACTCCAATAAATCTGGTGCCTGCCATATTGAAGATTTTCTTGGTGCTTGATGCGGAGACATAGAGAGTCCCTTTTGGCTGCCATAATTTTCTCTTCAACTGTACCCAAGAAAAGTATGCTGGGAGTTAGGAAGGAGTATATGTGCTTTATTTATCACTTGGATGCATAAATTCTTCAAGTTATTAACTTAAAGTTTGTGGAAAACGTTAACTCAATTCAACTCAACAGGACAAATATAGGAATTGTGTAGCTGAGTTTACCTAGTAATACTAGTATATAAACATACAATAGAATAATACAATGCTGTTCACCATCTGCTGCTAAATGCACACACAGCAATTAGTGTAGAAACACCAAAGGGTTGAACATTGAATTAAAGGAGACAGGTATTGGATGAAATGATATTGATGGATGATATAGAGAATATGAGGAAGAAAGAATTAGAGAGACGAGGACCTGATGTTGAGTATGAAGTCTGGTTCCACTTAAGTCAGAAAGAGAGGTGGTCAAGGGAGAGCAAGATAGTAGGTGCTGTTGGAGTGCCGCCAGTCTTGCCATGCTTCCCTCCACGCAGGGTTGCTATGAGTGTGTAGAGCCTAGTCCAAAGTGTTAATATGAGGCTGAAAAGAGGTAAGTTTATAAACTCGAAATAGTTTCAAAGCATCTATGACACTGATTTCATTCAACAATTTTTGCTAACATTAAGGAGATTAACATTTTTACAACACTCATCATACCACCTTCAACCAAATTTCAACAATTTCACATCCCAATCCGTGTTGGCATACCATTGCTCCAGCATCAAACCAGAGTCAAACATCTCCAAAACATAATACAACCTAACTGGCCGTGCCTCTGTCTATAGTGTTTTCTCTCTATAGGGCGCTATTTCTTACCATTTTACTCTTTTAAGGGACTATTTATTTGAATTTAACTATTTTTTTAAGTAAAATAGTTTCCTATAATAGAAAACAGTGAAAAAGTATTAAACCAACCTCTCACATTCTCAGCCACCTTATCATACATAGTCATAAAAGGGTAAGTCCTAGCACAGCGGTAATACAATTATCCTCCCACGGGTAATACATACTCAGCAATCACACAACTGCTAGAATTTATTTTCCCACTTGGAAATTGAAGTCAAACTTACACAAGCATTCTGGTTTTTACTTTCAATACCTAATCTATGACCTTAATATGCTAAATTGCAATTGCATTCCTCTTCAATCCCTTGAACCATAGTTTGTGCTTCTCTAAACACGAGGTACCTTGCGAATCCCGTAGTCTAAATCAAAGGTGGTAAACTTCATCAACAATGTATAATGGTAAAGAGAGGAAGAAGAGAGAACCTGAATAGAGGAGAGTGAAGGTATGGAAGTCTGCGAAGGAATAAATGAAAACGAAAATGTAAAAGCAATGGGTTATCTGAAATTTATTTCCTCGTCTCATCTTCCCTTCTTATCCCCTAAATTAAAAGAAACAAAAATACAGAGTTAAACAATTTATTCCGCGGATTAATTAATATTTTGTTCATAATTTTTGTTGTTTTCTGATTAATTTTGATTCTGATTTTTTTATTTAATTAAGTCACGTTTAAATCGATTCAAGTTAGTTTTTTTTTAATTAACGTATTTATAAATATCACGTGTCATATTGTAATATTTTCGCTTTTTTATTTATTTTAATTTTTATTTACTTTTAAGTTTTTTTAACTTGCCAGATTAGTGTAACGTAGTATTTAGCTGAGTTTTTATATTTATTTTTTCCTTGTTTACAACGTTTTCCTTAAAAATATAAGATTTTTCCAATTTATTTATGGTTACTAACTTACTTAAAATTTAATTTAATTTATTTACTAATAAAAATAAAAGCCAAAAATTATATTTTATGAAAATTTGTATTAAATATTATTTATTATAAAAAATTTATTTAAGTAGACAAATTAAGTTAAAAATCTAAAATTTACAATAAAAACTTTATATTCATATTTTTTTTTTGTTTTTCTTGAATGAGTTGGTTCTTCTAATCAACACTTAATTTGATAGTCTTAATTAGAATTTTAAAATAAGTATAAGCTTAAAATATGTATTTTTTTTACTTAAATTAAAATAATAAAATTAATTTTAATATTTAGGTTGAACTTTTGATATATAAATCTTTTAAAATTATTTTAACACATATATAAATTATAATAAACTTAATTAATATGGTCCATTTTGGAGTAAAATAAAACTGTCTAATTTAAATAATACTAAAACTTAGAATTAAAAAGTAATATAAAAATTGTTTCTAAAACTATTATATTTTGGTGGATTGAAGGTAAAAATTTGTATAAAAAGAATCTAAGCATTCTGTACTTACTACAAAGAATAAATTCTTAGGTTTAAAAGTTTATCCAAATAATCCCCATTAATGTATTAAAAAATGAATAATATTATGAATCGGGATGAATGTGTACTATTGGCTATGATCATGAAAATTTAGGAACTCAAAATCTATAAGGGCCATTGGAAAGAAAATATGGTCCTTCAAAAGAGACTAACCTTAAAAGGCATGTGATGCAACAATATATATATATATATATATATATATATATATATATATATATAGAGAGAGAGAGAGAGAGAGAGAGAGAGAGAGAGAGAGAGAGAGAGAGTTGTATATGAATAAGATATATTAGTTATAGCGCGCCCTTTCAGAAGTTACTAATGCGTTGTTATTGTCAATAAATCTTTCCCAAGCTTGATCTCAGTCACAACTATGGATCTTGGACAGGTATGTAAAATTTCAATCAATAATGTATGTTTTCTGCATTTCGTTCTATTAGGATAATTGAATACGATCTGCTTTCTTTCTTTCAATTTCATTTCCATTTCCCTCTTCTTTCTTAGAGACATTTTTAATTTTTCTCTTCTACGTTGAAGAAAAATAACGAAATTATGTACACCTAATTAGCATGTTTTAAATTTCTTATAAATTCAACTCAAGTTCGTTGTCTGTCCATTGATTTGGTTGGAATGATTATATTATTGTTCAATTCATCACATTGTACTATGCGTGCAGCCTGTAGAGGAAAACTACGCTAATCCAAACACTTGCTTATTTCATGTTCTCTTCAAGGTTCACTTTATTTAATGTATTTGCATTATTTCAACATTTTTCTCTATTCGCCAATGGCTGTTGTTAGTTCTAAAAAGTATAACGTTTTTCGTTTTTTGTGTCTGGCAGGCTGCGGCTTTGGCATTTTACATTCTCTCTACCCTCTTTATTGATAACTTTGTCATCATTTTCGTGATTACTGTCCTTCTAGCCGCTCTTGATTTTTGGGTAGTCAAGAATGTGAGTGGGAGAATTTTAGTTGGTTTACGGTGGTGGAATGAAATAAATGATCTGGGTGAGAGTGTTTGGAGATTTGAGTGTCTTGATCAAGAGGTGCGAATTGCTTGTTTACTCAGTTGCAACTTGCATGTTGTTATCCTTTTTTTAAAATGATATCTCTCTGTGACTCTGTCTATCTATAATGTCTCTGCTGAGTTGCATATGATTGCCATCCAAATGCTATGGAGATACATTACGTATTTTGTTTGTTTTTTCTCCAGTCACTGGCCCGGATCAACAAGAAAGATTCATGGCTTTTCTGGTGGACACTTTACCTTACAGTAAGAAACATCAATTGATAAGAGATTGTGATGACATTCTAGTTTTTCTTATATCCTTTTGCTATTTATGGTAATTTGTCAGAAAAATTGAAGGGGTTGTGCACAGATAAGCTTATTTAGATGGTTCATTCATGTGTTGTTTTGATATAAGTACTGAATAAGGTAAACAGAGTGACCGATTCTCTTAAATGTTGGATCTGAATGGAAAGTATAACTGACATTTGGGTTTTTCCACTGCTTACATTTTTTCTTATCACCCTCATCCAAAACATTGTTATCCATTACATCATTTTCTTGTGTATTCCTCTACAGGCAGTTGCGTGGACCCTGATGGCAATATTCTCACTAATAAAGCTGCAAGCTGATTACCTCCTAGTTGTTGGAGTTTGTTTAACCCTTAGTGTTGCAAATATTATTGGTTTTACCAAATGCCAAAAAGGTATGCTGATTTGTGTGTTATTCAAATTGTATCTTATATTTCCAGTAATATTTATTGGTTTAAGGTGGGGTCACTTGCTCACTCTAATTTACCTCCATACTTCCAACATAAATTAATTCATTATACTACTAACATATAAATAAAGCCATCTTCAAGAGTTGAAATTGAGACATATTATTTGATTGCATCTGTTTCTCTTGTGGGGTTCTATGAAAACATGTTAAGAGTTCATTGTTTACATGTCAAATGGTAATTTCTGCCCTGAATTTAAATCAACAGTGCACAAAGTTGTCCACCTTGTCATCCCAATAAACAATGACACTTGGTTAAATGAAAGAATACATTTTCTTTCTTTATTATCTCTGAGATCATTTTTCTATTAAGGGAAGAAAAAGAGGACACAAAAATGAGACTTGTGTTCTTCCTAACTGGAAGGATTTCTTTCTACATAAATGTTCCTTTTTGTTTGGCAATCCTTTATATTTATCAAATGGAGAAACAATTTGCAATGGATACCGCTGATTGGTTATTTTCAGATGCTAAGAAACGGATTCAACAATTTGCCACCCAAACAATTGCTTCACGGGTCACATCTACATTACAATCAGCATTCAGTGTTGTTTGAGGAATCTTTTACCCCTACGTCAGTTGCAGAAGAAAACTCTGCAGAGGAAATTCTTATCTCAAAATCACATATGATGACTCGAGGATGACTTTATATAGAATGTATTGATTTAGTGAACTCCCTGTTCTCCAAGGAAAAGTATAGAATACTTAGAGTAATAAAGAGTCTGAAAGAGGAGAGGTAGCCCTCGCCCAGTCCTGCAACCCGCTAGATGACTCAATGGCTACAGTATTAGGTAAATTGCATTGACTGTGTGCCAGCACATGCAAAATTTTGTAGCTTCCACTGTAGTGGCTATGACTATTATTGTCAAATGACAAGCCAAAATAATTACTTTTTCAACTGCAAATCATGTTTTTTCTTGGTTACTTTTTTGCATTCAAGTTTTAAGAATAACGTTTTTTATTACTCTATTTCTGTATCCATTCTACCATTTATGTTATAAAAGCTATGATCATTAAGTACTATTACGATTTTATGGTGCTACGATATCTCAGTTAAGCCAATACTCATGTGAACAAAGAAATACAAAACGAACATAAAAATAGGTAAATCAACCCTGTTTCTAAAAAGACATATTTAATGAAACCCAGCCAAAAAAATACACCAAACAAACATTTTTATGAACCACCTCATATACAGAGAATAAACTCAAATACTTCATTTTGTAACAAATTCTCTTTTTTGCCAATTTGGACGTAACTTGTAGTTATTAATGGTACTCGATTCAATTGCAAGATTAAGCGGAGTCTCAAAATCTTCAGCAATCATATCTCCCAAAAGTGCGTAAACACTCACAACAGTTATTGACATTCGAGCCTAGAGAATCTTGTATGTACAAAATTCATTAAAACATGCACCCGTGTTCATTATCTAAAATTCTTTAACTCGGAATCAAGAAAAGGAATATGGGGAATCAAGGAAGTGCAAAGCTTCAAAGCACATAGTTTTCCTTTATGTGCGTAACCAATATTTGGAGAGCGCTTCGGAGAAACTATTAATTTCATTTTCTACACATGATTGGTTCGTCTAATTGCTTCCCAATTGAATTTACAGAAAAAAAAGTTTGTAAGATTATTTCCTGTGATCTTTGGAGTTCAAGATGTTCCTTTCCACGAACAAACATTTTGATAGAAACAAATACATAAATTAATTCATATATCTTTTTAAGAGAGTGATTTTATTACCAATTTCTTATGCGCTTCATTTATAATTGTATCGACTAGTTTTATCTGACAATACATGTTATGCTGATTATTGTGAGGTGTATTGTGACTAAAGAAAAACTCATGCAACTGATTATTTGAATTTAATTGTTAACCAACCTCAACTTGATAGTATAACTTTCCATCATCGGCTACTCTTAAAGCAGTTGAAAGAATATTTGATTCACGTCTAACACCGAGTCTAGTAGACATAAACTCAGTCAGATACTGTTTGAGCACTTTCTTTCCAGCTTCTTGTATTGGGAGGACGAAGGTGAAGAAATTTAGAGAGATTTTGGTCAAGAACATAAGGGTTCCTGAAGAATATGCCAACCCCAGCACCCTAGGTACTGCAATGAATAACCATCAAACGCATATATGTATTTGCAGAACACAAGAGACTGCTGAGCCAGTAGTGCTACACCGATCTCTGAGAGAATGTATGTTGGTTGGTAAGATCAAGGGCACTGCTTTCCTTCTTGGAACCGCAAAACCTTTAGCCTAATTGTATATAGTACATGAAAATGTTTTATGTTTGCACTTCTAATTACAAGCATGTCACATATTATTATTTTTTTAGAAAAAATTAAAGTTTATGCAAAAAGAAGTACTATGCACACGATTTTTTTTTATTTTAGAAAAAGCTTATTTTGGTGGAGTAATAAATATTTAATGTATTTTCTTGAATTTTCTTGTTAGATAATACTCTAATATGCTTAACTTTTGTTCAGAATAAATAGAAAGAATCTTAAAATAAACTTTTGATTGTAGTAAACTATAATAGGCTAATTCGAAAGAACTTTTAAGAAATTGTTCAACAATCATTTTGGTGGAAAGAATTTTCCACGAAAGAAGAAAACCCTATCCCTTGCTATATGCTTGGCCGAAGATAACGCAACTCCCCCCAAACTTAGCAAAAAATGCATCACTATACTCTGATCACAGAATACAAATATCACGGTTGAGACTTACTACTTCAAACTTCAAACCCCACGTTCAAGTTAGAAATAGAGAGTAACCTAAATTTTGTAAGCAGCTAATGGATCTACTCGTAGATATTCAACCATAAAAATCTAAAATAAATAGTTTGCTAAAAGGGGAAACAAAAGAAATAGGTAACCATGGGATTCTGTGGTGAGAAATCAGAATCTCAATCTTCGTTTCCCAAGGTAGCATTTCACTTCCTATACATAAGAAAAAGGTCACATTCACGTTCATACATGGTTTTCTCCATGCTTGTTTCTTTTCACAAGTTTAAAACATCCTTCTCATTACCAATTTATCATTTCCATTAACGTTATATTAATTGATAAAACATTCAAAATCATCTATATCAACTACTTCCACGTGCTTCGTTTGTATTCTTTTGTTATGATCACGATCAACCTTGTTTGCAACTGCACCATGAAACCATCCCCTAAGATCCTAATTGGTCACAAGAATTCATCGTTTCTTGCAAGATGCCACCATACTCTGATCATGTCTATGTCCAATAACTCCACCGCCTGTGGCCTCAATCTCCATCTCAACACCATGCAGTGCCCTTTTCACGTGCGGGAATTTGGACGCATAATGCATGGAAGTCAACAAGTTTTCGGGCTGCTCTCTTCGAGTTTTGGCCAATCAAGTTCCATCGGTTTAAGCGCAACGAGAACCACAAAACGGGGTGTGTCTGCCATTGCCGGGATAGACTTCAAATTCAAGTCTCGTGACTTCTCAAGCTCCGTGGAGACATGTGAGAACATTAATGGTAAAATGGTTTACCTAAAGGATGGCATGAATGTGAAGCCAATAGCGGAGGAAAGGGTTGACAATGACGAGGATAGTGTTGGAGGAGAGGAAGTGTCTGGTTTAGAAGCTGATGAGAAAAATAACAAGAGTGAGAATGAACAAGAGGGTGGGAAGGTAGAGGAGGAGGAGACAGAAGTGGAGAAAGAGGCATGGAGTTTATTGCAAGAGGCACTCGTGACATACTGTGATAACCCTGTGGGGACCGTGGCAGCGAATGATTCGGAAGATCAACAACCTTTGAATTATGATCAGGTTTTTATAAGGGATTTTATCCCTTCGGCTCTTGCTTTCTTGCTCAAGGGAGAAAAGGAGATTGTCAGGAACTTTCTCCTTTACACCTTGCAACTCCAGGTAATATATATACATGCATACATACAGTTTGTCGTTATTATCAAGGGTTTTCGTTAGAAGTAATGGATAACACAGTATAAAGTTGTTTGTTACTTTTGGTGCCAAAAGTTACAGTGAGAAAAAATAAATAAACAGACCTGGATGAAGGGGAAACACATTTTTAGCCAAAACTATCGATATAGGTAAATTTTGAGGAAATTAGTCAAATGGATAATTCATGCTTTAAAGCAAACTTGTACGTCTTTTTACTTGAAGAAAACTATTTAGTAAAACATGAGGAATTAGTGATATTTTTTTTAATTAAGAGAGCACTTAAGAGAGAATATGTATAAAATTGGTGGTTTGTTCTTAATTAAGCCGTAAATAAATGTGATACTGTTGTTTGTCATCATGTCATGATTGATTTCTGTGTATTGATGTTTAATACGCTGCATCCTTCTCCCTATTCAATTGCAAGAGTTGGGAGAAAACAGTGGACTGCCATAGCCCAGGGCAGGGCCTGATGCCTGCTAGTTTCAAAGTTAAAACTATGAAAGTTGAAGGAAAAAGTGAAGAAGTTTTAGATCCTGATTTTGGGGAATCAGCTATAGGTCGTGTTGCTCCTGTAGATTCAGGTTAGATTTTTCTGTTCTTTAGGATGTGCCTGCTGCAAAAGGGTAATTCTTTGGGAGATTGCTTGTACGAGCATTTTAAAAAACAGCATTTCTCAGAATATTATTTGAGTAACATCACAAAATGACTTGTTTCTTTGTTTGGTTTTCTGATAGGATTGTGGTGGATCATCCTGCTGCAGGCTTATGGTAAGATTACTGGGGACTGCAGCTTGCAAGAAAGGTTGGATGTTCAAACAGGCCTAAAAATGATCCTTAATCTGTGCTTAACGGATGGCTTTGATATGTTTCCTTCTCTGTTAGTAACTGATGGATCTTGCATGATAGACAGGAGGATGGGTATTCATGGCCACCCCCTTGAGATTCAGGTGAGTGAAAATAAGCAACGTTTTTGCATTCTTGTGTTCTATATTAGGTGTTGTAAGGATTTGGAATTCTCGAATTTTTGTTTCAGCTGCAATAGTCCTAGTCGGTTATAGCTACTCCTACTTTTGTTATACACTCAACATTAATGTATCGGGGTTGAACTTGAGATGAGAAACTCTGGATTCAGATTTCTGTCTCTACTCTTAGAATCTCTCATTTTGGTTGAACTTGTGGTAAGTTTTTGATTTGCAGGCCTTGTTTTACTCAGCTCTTCGCTCGGCCCGTGAGATGGTTGCTTCAGATGAAAATTCCAAGAATCTGGTTGGAGAAATTAACAACAGACTCAGTGCACTATCATTTCACATTAGAGAATACTATTGGTTGGATGTGAAAAAGATGAATGAGATATACAGGTACAAAACAGAAGAGTACTCATTGGATGCCACAAACAAGTTCAACATCTATCCAGATCAAATCCCTTTGTGGCTAATTGATTGGGTTCCAACCAACGGAGGATATCTGTTAGGGAATCTGCAGCCAGCTCATATGGATTTCAGGTTTTTCATGCTTGGAAATCTTTGGTCAATCGTTTCCTCTTTGGGCACCCCAGAACAAAATAATTCTATTTTGAATCTGATAGAAGCAAATTGGGATGATCTCGTGGGGGAAATGCCTCTTAAGATATGTTATCCTGCCTTGGAGCATCATGAGTGGCGAATAATTACAGGCTCTGACCCCAAGAATACGTATAAACTTTTCCCTTCATATTTCTTTCAGTTGTTTAGCAGACCCGAGTTCTTTCTTTTCTCTTTTCGGATAAAAGAAAGTACATTAAAGAATGTATAGTGTTTGTATTATTGTCTCTATGGTGTACATCTCAAGTCTTAACTAAAAACACCATGCTTAACTTGTGCAGCCCTTGGTCATATCATAATGGTGGGTCCTGGCCAACCCTTCTGTGGCAGGTAAATTTCTTTGCATTTGAAAACATGTTTGTTTTAATTAAGGAAAGTTGAGAAAATGTCGTTGTTCATCTTCACAACTAAACTTTGCTTCAATACATGTCTTCAGTTCACACTTGCATGCATGAAAATGAATAGAACTGAACTGGCAGAGAAAGCAGTTGCTTTGGCTGAGAAAAGACTGCCCCGTGATTCTTGGCCAGAATATTATGACACACCCAATGCAAAATTTATTGGCAAACAAGCCCGGCTTTATCAAACTTGGACTTTAGCTGGGTTCCTTGCATCTAAGATGCTTTTGAAGAATCCTAATTTGGCTTCCTTGTTATGGTGGGATGAGGATTTTGAGATCCTTGAGAATTGTATTTGTTTGCTTCACAAGAGTGGCAGAGTCAAATCCTCTCGTGTCCCTGACAAATCTCAGATTCTCGTGTGATGAGAGGCCTTCTATACAATAAAAGGTCTAGGGTATGGTATGAGTTTTATAGGAAATAGTAAAAATTATGGTGGTTGTGAATATGATAAATATGGCTTTCCTTTTATGAGAGATGGAGATTCTCACTCATCTATATATATGCAAACATGTACATACTGAATTTTCTTTTATTAACATGTGTTTCTGATTTCAAAGATACGAAACTTTGCCAGTTATGTCAACTGATCTTTACAGTGTAAAAGGGTGTTCCCCAGTTTCCTTTCAACGGTTATGACTAATTCGCAATAAGTGGTACAACTGATTACGTTTAATCGATTTGGAATCTAAATGCGATTACTAGCGGTAGTAAACTCTCCCAGAATGATATCAAACAAGTGGACTTCAACCTTTAGCAGCTAATACATTTTCAATACATAATGTACATCCCAACCACACAACACATGTAAGCAAATGATGGAAACAAAAGCATGAAAACATTAGAAACCTGCCGAGTAGCCAACGAAAAGGCATCATTTATGTTAAATTAATAAATAAATTTGGTCACCTCTTATTTGCTATCTACATGTTAAAAGTATAACCTTTAGAAAATGATCTCGATAGTAGACACTGTAAAACTAAACCTCGGAACTTCACAGAAGTCCTCTTCTTCTCTTGTAGTCACTGATAGTTAATGTAAGTGCATGCCTACTCCCATCATTCTCAGAAACCCGGCACCCAACTGTTTCTTCTATTTTTTGTTTCCTTGCCAGAAATCCATTTTTGAGTCCCTGTGGTCCACCAAAATTCTTGAGTTCAGCCAAAGAGATAGGCAAGTCGAAATCATGGAGCATGTATGATTCTGTTCCACCATCCACAGGAGCATTGGTATCAATCAACTTCCCTTCATTAGCAGCTGCTTGCAATGCCAATTCTGTGACTTCAACACCAATCTTTGTTGTAACAGCTGTTTCTTCTTTCTCTTCCCCCTTACTAACTTCACCATCCTTTTCTCCTTTATCTTCACTCTTTTCAGTATCTTTACCGTAGTAATTCCTCGACCTTGTCCACCTTCTCGAAAAGGGATCATAGCCTTCCTCACCAGCTTTCAAATTGGCATTCAACTGTTTATGCTCAGACAAGTTCTTGAAGTTCTCAACCTTGTTCTTCCTGTTCATCTCAGCCAGCCTCAAAGCCTTGGCATCATTCTCCCGGGATTTACGAGATGCTTCCAAATCCGCGAGCTTTCTCAAGATCCTATCCATCTCTGCTTCATCATTCTTACACTTTGCAACCTCCAACAGATTCTTCAAACGATCCTTCTCCACTGCAATGTTCAGTGGCCTAGATGGGGCTGATTTTTTCTCCTCTAGCATCTGCTTCACAGTAGCGGCTGAATAAACATAAGCGCTTGTTCTTCTTATGGCCTCCTTCTTCTCCAACACACTCATCTTACTCGGCATTTGGCTGCAAGTTCTTTCAACTTCTCTAACCCACTGTCTGAACTCTCTCTCCAAGGGTGCAGAATCTGAAACTACAGCCACCTGAAACTTTTTAGCAGAGTTCTCACTTCCCCACACACAGACTAGATACTTGTGAGTGACTCTATTCTCTACCTTGTAATGCTTATTTGGGTCACCTCCATCAACTCTCTGCACTGTGCAGAGCCTGTAAACAGGTCCCCTTTCTGACTTTCCTATGCCAATTCTCACAAAACATCCAACAATTAACTCCTCAAAAAATGGTTCATTCAACCACTTCACGAGCTTTGACCTCCTAATGGTGATTTCCCTTATGTTCTCAAAAGTTGGCATCCTTGATTCATGAATGTTCTTGTCATCATCACTGTCACCCAATCCACCATCATCAGACGAGTCTCTTTCACTGTCAGACCGAATAACACTCTCACTCTGACTAGAGCTACTTGGACTTGCCGTGACCCCAGGTTTCTGCTTGCTATTTGAGCCTGATCCTGAAGCCTTTCCCAATTTATCATGAGGGTCCAAGATTTGTTGCTTCATCCTTTTCGCGCGTAATTCACTTAGAACATTTCCCTTGGAGGTCGTCCTCTCAGCATTTCTAGCCGATGAACGAACCTTGGCAGATGATGGATGATAAGATGAATTTGCTGCAGAACCAGTCTTTGCACTTGCATTTTTGTTTTCCCTCTTCGATCTCATTTTCTCTTTGAATTCCTTTTCACATTTTTTGGTTGCTCTATCAGACAAAATCATCTCCCTTTCAAGTTCTGTCATATTTGCGAGCTTCTTTTTGTCGTCTTCGTTCTTGTAGAGATCACTTCCAACATCAGATTCTTCACTGCTGCCACCATCTCTATCGGGAACTCCATCCTCCAAGTCAGCCCCACCATGCTCATTACGATTACTATTATTATTACTTCTTCTGCTGACGTCTAATCTCTTCTTCAGTGGAACATGGGATGAATACCTCTGTGGTTTCTTGTTTGCACCCTCATCAGAGTCTTCTTCTCTAGAATGACTTCCACCATCGGAGAATGCCGCACCACCCTCACGTTTTGATTTCGAGTTCCGAGACTTGTGCCGCTTTCTCACCGGAGAACTCGTCCTTCCAGCTGCCTCAAGAAGCATATTTTCCAAGTCTGCCATCGTCTCTTCTGTGTTTATATGTATGCAGTCTTGAGCTATATGAGTCAGACCCCAACAACCACTACAACCCACGTAAATGGAAATTTTACGATAAGATCATATGCAGTAGTTAACATAATTATCAAAAATGCATATAAATAAGCAGAATGAAAAATACAGACGAATGTGATGAACTTCGACTTTCTGGGTGATAGTACTGAACTGACTCATCTTAGTTCACAATATGTAATGCAGTTCAAAGTTACAAAATTAAAATAATAATAATAATAAGTCAGAAAAGATAAGCAACAAATAAACACCTGATCAGAGGCAATCGTGCGAGGGAACAACAAAACGAGGAATGATTCCAGTACGAAGTGGTTCTGTTTGTAGAAATTACGTAATTCAGCGAGAGTTTGAGAGGTCCTCCGGGGATCACTGTGTGCCTTTTGCTGTGTTTTAGTCCTCTACTCACAAATTATATTAACAAAAATTATTCTAAATTTTACGACTCCCAATTTATAGAAACTAACTCCTATATATGTATGACTTGCGTATATGATGCTTGACTGATTCAATATAAACAATTTTCGTTATATGACTATTATCAAACTGGTACTTTTTTTCTATTATCGAACAGGTATTATTGTTGTCATTGGTATTTATTAAAAATATTTACTCAGTATATTTTTTATTCAAATTAATTTTTTCGAAATTTTTTAATCTTAGAAATATCTTTTATATATATTGTAAATATTTAATATTTTTTCACATTTTAGTTTATGTATAAAATACAAAAATAAAATAAATAACAAATTTATCTATATAACATATCTCTTGTATTTTAAAAACTACTAAAATTTCATCTAGTATAGTTAGTTTGCCTGGATAATCGACTTAGACTATTGTGATAAAAATAACAACAATAATATAAGAAAGGGTTACTGTATACATGCTTTTACTGTATCAATGTAGAGAAATACAACTGAGATTATCTTTGAAAAAAAAAAAATCATCCACGTCTATATTCATACTCAATAGGTGTAATATTTTTATTTCACTACAAAAAATACAAATGTGAGTATACTCGTTCCTATTACCACTATCAATTAATTAATTTTTATAAGAAAAATCATGACAAAAGAAAAGTAATATTATCAAATAATCAGTATTAAAATGACACATAATTTGTTGAATACTAAATATTTAGAAAAATATTATAATTATATATTTTTTAAATTAGGACCAAATAAAATTTCGTTAAAACCAAAAAATTTATTAAGTTTACAAACGAAACAAAATTAACAAAATTAAAATATAATTTTAAAAACTTATTAAAAAAAACAAGTATCCAAATTTAAAAATATTTTTAAATGTTTTTATACTAAAGTCTAATGAAATTTCTCTTTTATACACTAATTAAAATTATTATACATTTGAACGAAATTATACAAAAAAATTAAACTAAAAAATAATTGAAATTTAGTATAAATATTTCATCTTTTTGAACTTAAACAAGATTCATGATAATGACATCAAATTATTATATTATAATAAATAAAACGTCTTTATACAATTACAATGATAAAATTACACTTATGATAAAGAGTTGAGAAACAAAAATAATTATATAAAAGAATTATCGAAACAATAATCTACATATAAAAATGAACAATAAATGAAATTATTAAAGAGAAATTAAAATGATCATATGTGTGTCTTAAAAATAATTTGATACATCATTCAACTAGAAATCACATAAAAAAGAACAAATATATAATAAAGGACATGATGAAAAGTATTAGATCTAAAAAAAACTTTTCACACATCAAACTAGTCAAACTAATGAGAGATAATAAAAATTATTTTAGAAAAACAAAAATTCTTCAAATGAAAAAAAAATTAAGGATAAAAAAGAATAAAGAAGATAAGTTTGGTTATGTTACTTATTAGAGGAAGAGTTTATGTGATTGAACAATTGAAATTGAAAATTAAATACTTTTATG